TATTTATTATTGAGAGACAGAGCATGAGTATGGGAGGGGCAGAGAGAGGTGAAGACACAGAATCCGAAGCAGGCTCCAGGCTCCGAGCTGTCAGCACAGAGCCCGACGCGGGGCTCGAACCCACAAACCGCGAGTCCATGACCTGAGCCAAAGTCGGACGCCCAACCGACTGAGCCACCCAGGCACCCCCAACCTTGGGCATTCTTTGTGCTGTATTTGAAAATCTAGTCTAACACCTTCCCCTCGTCCTGCTTCTCATGCCCTGAAATAAAAGAGTGTGCTTACAGTGGGATACCCACACCAACACGTGGGGCAATTAAAGTTTGCTGTTGTTACCCACGTCCTGTACTGAAAATAGTGAGCCCCGTATCCACGGAAACACTGTAATTAATATGTGCACCAGTTCATGAGCACTTTTCCCTGGCTTTTATCCTCCTAGCTGAAAAACCACTTGGTGGATTCAGCATCAGTGGAATGAAATTTGAAATGTAAAACGAACATTTCTTTTTTTTTTTTTTTAATTTTTTTTTTCAACATTTATTTATTTTTGGGACAGAGAGAGACAGAGCATGAATGGGGGAGGGGTAGAGAGAGAGAGGGAGACACAGAATCAGAAACAGGCTCCAGGCTCTGAGCCATCAGCCCAGAGCCTGACGCGGGGCTCGAACTCACAGACCGCGAGATCGTGACCTGGCTGAAGTCGGACACTCAACCGACTGCGCCACCCAGGCGCCCCTAAAAGGAACATTTCTAAAAAGCATTGAGGAATATCATGTCCGGAAGAGAAAAAAAATAAATGTATTTTAGAATACATGTGTTTTGAAATTTCCATATTAAAAATGGACAATGTCAGACTGATACTTTTATTGAATCACTTAATGGCTCTCGCTTTGCAAAACTGAGAAAAGTTCATTCTATATTACTGAGTGGCTCAAAGTATTTTTTAAGAAAAACAAGTACTAACACAATACCTTATAAATGTTGCTAATTCCCAACCTCACTTCCCTTTCTGTTTTCTGGACATTAGACCATCCTGATGGTATTGTGGCAAGTCTCTGACATTTTGAGAAGTCCTATTTTTCAAGCCCTCACCCTTCAGTTCCAGTGGGATCCATTAATAACTAAAAGTGCACATTAACACTTGAGCCATTCACACTAAGAGTAATAACCAGTCATGAATCTTCTCAATGGTGGGGCTTTTACCTTGTTCTTGTTTTTTTTTTTTTTTTTTTTAACAGAGGTAAGATTTCAGAAGTGTAATTCAAGATATACCCAGCATCAGGACCCCTGATGCAGGTGGGGCGCTCACCCTATCCAGTGTTAGAAAGAAGAAGAGGAGGGAAGAATGAGAGGGAAGGGGAGAAAGAGAGAAGGAGAAAGGGAGAGAGAGGGAGGGGAAGAGGAAGAGGGAGGAAGGAAGGAAGGAAGTCACAAACGTCCATCTAAAAGAGTGAAGGCAGTTGTGAATGGGATCCCATTCACAATTGCACCAAGAAGCATCAAATACCTAGGAATAAATCTAACCAAAGATGTAAAAGATCTGTATGCTGAAAACTATAGAAAGCTTATGAAGGTAATTGAGAAGAATGCCGAAAATGGAAAAACATTCCATGGATTTGAAGAAAGGAATAAATATTGTCAAAATGTCAATACTACCCAAAGCTATCTACACATTCAATGCAATCCCAATCAAAATTGCACCAGCATTTTTTTCGAAACTAGAACAAGAAATCCTAAAATTCATATGGAACCACAAAAGGCCCCGGATAGCCAAAGTAATTTTGAAGAGGCCAAAGCAGGAGGCATCACAATCCCAGACTTTATTTCTAAAGCTGTAATCATCAAGACAGCATGGTATTGGCACAAAAACGAACACATAGACCAATGGAATAGAATAGAAACCCCAGAACTAGACCTAAATGTATGGCCAGCTAATCTTTGACAAAGCAGGAAGAGAGAGGAAACATCCAATGGAAAAAGATCTCTTTAACAAATGGTGCTGGGAGAACTGGACAACAACATCGGAAGGTTGAAAGTGAACCACTTTTCCTCACCATTCACAAAAATAAACTCAAATGGATAAGGACCTGAATGTGAGACAGGAAACCATCAAACCCTAGAAGGAAGCTTGGGAAAAAGACCTCGTATCAGCAGTAACAATCTCTTACTCAGCACATCAAAAGGCAAAGGAATTAAAAGCAAATGAACTACTGGGACCTTATGAAGATAAAAAAACTTCCATAGAGCAAAGAAAACAACCAACATAAAACTAAAAGCAACCAACGGAATGGGAAAAGATATTTGCAATGACATATCAGGACGAAAGGGCTGGCCAAAATCTATAAAGAGCTCACCAAACTCCACACCGAAAATAAATAACCCAGTGAAAATGGGCAGAAAACATGTCTTCTCTAAAGAAGACATCCGGATAGCCAACAGGCACATGAAAAAGATGCTCAATGTAAGCTCCTTGTCGGGAAATACAAATCAAAACCACTCCAGATATCACCTCACTCCAGTCAGAGTGGCCAAAATAGACAGTCAGAGACTATAGATGCTGGAGAGGATGTGTGAAGATAAGAGAACTCTCTTGCACTGTTGGTGGGAATGCAAACTGGTGCAGCCACTCTGGAAAACAGTGTGGAGGTTCCTCAGAAAATTAAAAATAGACCTACCCACTCTTATGTGGATCCTGAGAAACTTAACAGAAACCCATGGGGGAGGGGAAGGAAATAGAGAGTTAGAAACAGGAGAAAGCAAAAGCATAAGAAGACTCTTAAAGCGAGAACAAACTGAGGGTTGAGTGGGGGAGTGGAAGGAGAGAGGAATTAGGTGATGGAATATTGAAACACCTTTTAAGGATGACAGATTGTTGTATGGAAACCAATTTGACAGTAAATTTCATATATTGAAAAAAAAAGAGTGAAGGCAGGGAATTTAAGTATGCATATAGTGATTTTGTAATTTTATTCATGCGCCCTTGAAAATAAAGGTCAGGAAATTTAGTTAAAAAGAATTTAGCTAAAAATTATAGTTCTCTGCCTTACTTTGTAATAATTAGCTTAAGTTCGGTTTTTGGCTCCTTATTTTTCAGTTTGTTTCACTCAGTCTTTTTTCAGTGCCTTGTATGTGCCAGGCACTGAGGTAGGTTGGGGGAGGGGGTGCAGATAATGGGGACTAAATTCGATCTTTGATGAGGGAAGTTCCTGCCCCCCAGGAAGATGGGCTTCTGTACAGGGAACCCCTGAGAGTTCAGCGATGCAGACTGCTGAATGACAAGTGGGTGGGAATTGAAGCGAATGAGCCCCGCGACTATATTCAGCATCAGAGGTCACCTTCAGACTTGTTTTGAAAGAGCCTCATTACTTCTTGTAGAGTAGAACGTATTCTCTCGAAGTGCACAGTCTCCCTCAGCACCAGGTTGTGTCCTATTTATTTCTGTTGTTATTGACGATACATGATGATACGTATATTCGCTGTTGCCTTGGGTCCAGATGTTTGGCATAGATAAGGTTATATTGGAAACATTTATGCATTGGGAAAAGAGAATAACTAGATTTACTTCTGTCTATTAGTATTGAAATCAATAATGAGACCCTGTAGTTCTCTCTTAATTGGCTCTTTAACAATTGATCCTTGGGTATGTATGCAAAATCTTATTCTCCTGGTTGGCCACTAAAGGAAAGGAATCATTAGCAAAGTCTACTGAACAATGTTGCCTCGAATAATTTCTTTTCAAACTCTGAATAACTAAAAATATTAAATGCACTACGAAGACTTAGTTTGAAGTTTTCAGGACCTTAAAAGCACATGCTTCCTTACCAAAGTGAAAATCTGAAATATATAACTTAATTTGTTCAAATAGAGGAGTATCTTCATGTGGTTACAGAAAATATAACGTGGCACACTCAAGATGGTGAGGTGAGTGGCATAGTTTATTCAGGGCAGATATTAAGAGGTACACTATTTTGCCACTTTGGCCTATTTTTACTTCTGTGTTTACAATGTCTCCAGAGCAGCCCTTTGGAAAACCTATGCGGACTTGGTAATGTATAGGAAGGTTGTTTATTGAATATACATCTAGAATCACAGAGGGCAAAATCCCACATTGTAGTATATAAGATTATGAATGTTATATACCTTTTTATGTAACGTGCACTTGGACAGTATATGAACTTTATAAATATGGCGTCACAGACTTGTATTCAGTAAAACGAATAGGGGAAGACATTCATTCGTCTGGCCTGAGTTCAGTGAACTCATCCCTTGGTCAGTGGTATGTGCTTGTGTCATGTCCTTGGAGAAAAGGGAAAGTAAAACCGTCATTGTGTTTAAGCTGGGATGGGCGAGAGGGAAACATGCATCCTCAGAGGTGCTTGATGAAGGGTGCTTTGAAGCAAAAAGCTATGTAATGGCCATATTTAATATATTTCATTAATATCTACAGATTGTGCTTTTTAAAAAAAAAAATAGTTTCTGTAAAGAGAAAAGAAAAACACCCGGAAGCCACTAGCCCAGGCCTTTATTAAAACATGGTAGTGTGAGAACAGCTCTCCGATGACTTTCTGTAGAGAGCAAAGTGCTTGAAGAGCTTATAGGATAGTTTGGGGGGAAGATCAAAGTTCACGGAAGAGTTCTCTATGGAGACCCTCCAAAGGCATGGGGACCTTCTGCTGTGTTAGAATCAAGGCAGCCAACGCAGAGGTGTGGTTGGTTCCCCAGCAAGGATCGGATATCTTGGGTGTAGCAAGAGGGGTGGGAGGAAGAAGCCAGGGCTAAGGCCTTGCCAACGTCAGTTGAACATTCTTAGCCTGTTGGAGTTTCTCACAAAATATTTATTATATTTGTCTTAAAAAGTAATTACAGTGTCCCACATGCTTCTACAGGGTTTTATCTAAGACAGACTTTTCTGGATCTGTTTCCCAACTAATGCAGAAGTGAAACCCGCTTTCTTTGTTACCAGTATACATAATGTTATATTTGTTCTTTTTCACTTACAGGCTGGAGCCAATGTCCTTCTCCAGGATGTTAATGGAAATATCCCCTTGGATTATGCCATGGAAGGGACAGAATCTAGTTCCATCCTGTTGACCTATCTGGATGAAAATGGTAGGCAGTTGCTGTGAAAAACTATAGAGAGATAGATTTAAAGACAGTGTGGTAGAATTACAAATGTATATTTTATCTATTTTTTAGGCACGCACACACGATTTCAGATCGATGTGGTTTCCCTAGATTGTGTAAAATGAAGTATTTTTTCTCTATATAGAATTTCATTGTTCCCCCCGCGATGCCTCGTTGGTTTAGTCAAGGCAGTTTTGCAAGGCAGCAGAAATCTAGAGGCCAAGAATGAAGGAACATTTTAACAAGCATCTAAAGTCCATAATTAGTGGGACTGGGTTTGTAATTATAATCTATTCTCCACTGGGAGGGCAAGGGAAGTGAACCAGCATAACTGAATTCTGAGTTAACGAGAGCGAGGTCATCTGAAGTGTATTCTCTTAGGAGCGGGTAGTCCTCGTGAGTGCCAGTGAGGGAGGACTTAAGTCAAGGGCAGCTTGCACAGCATCCACTGTTGCTGACACGTGGAAACACAAATGTCAGAAGGAAGCGCCCTGGTCATGTTGCTAGCCTGAAAAGATGAGTAGAGCTCCCAGATAGATTCCCTCCCAAAGAATATTTAATTGCACAGACTAAACGTGTAATTTCAGGAGCAAGTTCAGCATTGGCAAAGTGGGAGGTGTTTGAAATCCTGAGCCCAATATGGTATGCGACTGAAGAAGTTTGCCACTTCCCCGCCCCCTCTTTTTGTTTAGGTATAAATAACAACAAAGAAATTCCAGACCCTTCAAGTATGATCTTTTGTCAGAGAAGTTTAAAAGTTTTAAGAGCCACACAGTGCTTGTCACTCTGTCCTTCTCGATTCTAAGAAAAGCCCTCACATCTGCCTCTTTTTTCCCTGTGCTCTTTGCCTCCTCCAGATCTGTGGTATCAAAAGGTTTATTCTGAGGATGGCTTAGAATAATAATAATAATTAGCACTTCACGGCCAGGGGTTCTTAAAAAAATAATCTCATGAATTCTGAGAGTGGGTTAAGTACTGTTATCTTCATTAGGGACAATGTGAGCCGTGAGCCCAGCTGTCCTACGGAAGGTCACCGAGTCCCGGCCGGGGTGACGGAGGCACCTCCCTCACTCCTTGTATCTGCTCCTTATGTGAGGGTCACATTCAGATCTCTGAACCTCTTGTCAGCGGCAACTTGCTGGGGACAGGTTCCATTATCGCTAAAGGGATTGAGACTTGAAGTTATGTTTGCACACCCCACTGCTGTGAAGTTTATTGTTTCGGCCTTTGTGAAACTTGGACTTCACCATGCACGCTTCTGAATTTGCACAAACAGCTCAGTTGTGTTATTAGCTGAGCCACTTCTATTAGCAGATTTCTTCCTTCCTTACTCTGAGTTTCTAATAGCCACGGTAGTAAATAGTTCTCTTTGAAAACTGAAATGAAGTTACCTTTATTTGCAAAAGAACTAACCTGACTTATAAACCTTTCCCACTCATTCAAGGATTTTGTTCAATAAGAAAATTTGATATTTACAAAGGCAGTATTATCTATCTTATGCAAAGAAAAATAAGTGATTTTGAACGTGACTGAGGGCAAAGAAAGAGGGCGGCACAGATTCTCGATGGTTAGGAGAAAATCTGTCACGACGATGGCTGTCACAATCAGTTTGTAAAATACATGTTTGCTGGAACAGATTCAACTTAATATCCCCTAAATTTTTAATTCTGTTTTCCATTTGTCACTGCTGGTGTGCTGGCCTGTGCCTCACGACCGTCTGCCCCTCCCTCGCCTCGTGCACGGTGTGCTCCTATTCTGCCTGGGTCCCTCCTACGTGTCTGTGTCAGCTGCCACACCCATTCGATTTATTCTCTGGCCTCCTCGCTGGCGTGCTTTCAGGGTTATCTGCCATGACAGTGTGGGCTGACATCCTTAGACATTTCTAAGATTCCCTGACTTGATGCGTATTACCGTTTGGCGCTCAGTGTTTCAGAACCACATTCTCAGAACCAGGTGGCTGTCATCCTCGGATATTCTCTGCGCACCATACAGTTTCCAGGCTGAGTACTTAGCACGCTGTCCCATCAGGACGCGTGTGGCAGGAGGCAGGCGAGGTTGTGAGGAAGTTGATTACATGGCAAATCGCTGGTCACAGGTTCTAATTGTACTGTCACCACCGACATACAGCATACCCCGGGCACAGCAATTAACCTCAGCTCACCGCCTGGGCTTCCTGGGCTGGAAAACGAGACAGCCACGGAGGGCTGGTTGAGGACTTGATGCATATTGGATCGGCAGAGCGAGGCGAGCCAGTTGGCTTTCAGAGAAGGCAACTAATTGCACAATGATCGAGCGAGGGAAGAAAGCACTGCAGGGGGGACGGGGGGAGGCACAAGGTGGTCCAGCACAGATGCACGGGTAAAGATATATATATGGATCCTTTTCACTTTGCTGCGCGTGCCCTTTCTCCTTCCTTCGAAATTCATCCTTTAGAAAAAAAAGCTCACACTTATTCTCCTGAGCTCCTAATCTCCTCTCCTTAGCCCACTGAAGTTCAGCCTCTGCCGGAAATGTCCTTCCAAAGATGGCCATTGCCTGCTTGGCTCTCTATTGGCTGATCACCCTTCCGTTCTCCCGCCTGTGTTCCCTCATCGCCCTGTAGTGTTCCCTTGACTTCCATCACACTCTCCCGCGAAACCTCGCTCACCTGCAGTGATCATTCCATACCGTCCTCCATTCTCTTTGAGCTCCCACTTACTTCCTTTGGAAGTGTGACCGCACAGGCAGATGCCAGAATGTTCTCTGGTTCATCTCACCCTGTTCCTTGTGTTGTGACTGCCTGCCTGCTCCCAAGATTACTCCTGTGGCTCAGATCTCTTAGAAGACCTTCTGCCTTGTCGTGTGCACTGTTCTTAAATATCTTGCCTTGGATATCAGGCGGTTTGGGATAACATACCCAATATTGAAGTTTCATGCCCTACCAAGAGTCCATTTTACCCTTATGACCAGGAATCCAAGCATCTCAATGTCACTTCTCTTTTCCTAAATCCCTCACATCGAATTGTCACCAAATTTTATGGATTCTTCTTCCTTGACATCCCCGTGATATGTCCGCATCCCTCACCCATTGTGCCGTTGCTGCCTTCGTTAAAACCCTAGGCTTTCTGTTGTGGAAACAGCCTCAGAAACTGGCTTAGCCTTCCCTGATTGTTCTTTTTTTTTTTTAATTTAAAATAGAGTAAGTTAACATACAGTGTAGTATTGGATTCAGGAGTAGAACCCAGTGATTCATCACTTCAATGTAACACCCAGTGCCCATCTCAACTAGTGTCCTCCTTAATGCCCATCCCCCATTTAGCCCATCCCCCAACCCACCTCCCCTCCAGCAACCTTCAGTTTGTTCTCTGTATTTAAAGGTCTCTTATGGTTTGCCTCCCTCTCTGTTTTTATCTTATTTTTCCTTCCCTTCCCCTGTGTTCATCTGTTGTGTTTCTTAAATTCCACATATGAATGAAATCACATATTTATCTTTCTCTGACTTATTTCAATTAGCATAATACCCTCTAGTTCCATCCTTGTTGTTGCATATGGCAACATTTCATTCGTTTTCACCACTGAGTAGTATTCCTGATAATTCCTTAAGAGACTCCTGGATTAATCAGTCCATAGTGACCTTGTATATTTCTTCCACTTAGTAAAATTAATTTGAAATGCCAATCCTGCACCACCCTCTTCAGAGTCACCCATTGTCAAGGTGGGAGTGTATCCCAGTTTGCTGGGGACGGTCCTACGTTGTGCGTCTGGTAGGACTGATGGAAGGGATGGTGTAGAGGGTTATAACAGCCTTTTGGCTTGAACATGTTTGTTCCTTTTTTCTAGAATCAGCTCCCTTTATTTGCTTGCTCAGAGCATCCTTAGTTCCAATTCTAGAAACTAAGAAAATGATGTGCTATAGTCACGGGGCAGGTCACATCAGAGTGACAGACTACCCCCAATACAAAATGGATAATGGAGAAAAAGAAAAGTTGAATTGTTACAAAAAAAAACTAATATTATCTTGAGAGAGGCAGTTAAGGAAAATTAAGATAGGGTTTAGACTGACTTGATGTGTCAATGTGATTTCAGTTTTACATATCACCTGATGTTATCAAATGTACTCAGGCAATAGTAATTAGTATCACATGTAATAACTTGTAAATTTCAAGCAAATGATGTTTTTCTTATTTCCTAAATATTTCCTAAATGTGTTCATTTTGAAAAAAAATTAATGAATTCCTGTCAAAATAATAAATCCAATCAGGACCTGTATTAGGTTTTTTTTTTTTTTTTCAGAGAACAGGATGAAAATAAAACTTAATATCTTTTAAAAAAGACAGACTTGGCCTATTTTCCATTATAAAATAGGCTTATTATGGTCTGTTGGTTATATTTTTCCTGGAGTAGCTTAAGGCTTTTGAGCAAGAAGAGAGGGAATTTCTGTTCCATTGTCTTGCTGAAAATAGATTTCTGCTTATTTCCTAAACATATAACAAAAATCTAAAATCGCATCTTATGTGGTATCATATTTGACTCAAAATGAAGTTTTAAAATAGTAAGATACAATATCATAATATTCCCCTCTGATACCTTCACAACAGTGGCTGAAATAGATTGTTTTCTCATGACATGTGGTAAATGAGTGATCTCTAATCTGCTTTAATGTGTCTTTTATCACTGAGCTCTATTCTTTTACAGCTCAATTTTAATGATGTGTGCAAATGATTCTCTAAAAGATACGTACCACTCCAGTAAACACTGCAGTGTTATAGAACTTAGAATAACGTAGCCATCAGATTCTTCGGCTTCAGTGTGCAAAATTGAACACTGACATTTGAGAAATAGTATTTTCCAAAATTAACTCACACGTCAAATTCGACAATCCTAAAAATGAGAATAGAGTGATAGTTTTAGTTGGTTCTTAACAAACCTCAAAGCAACTCTTAGGGAAATCTGTTAGTTCTTCCGAAATGGCATGTGGAAATTTCAAAGCTGGTAATTGGTTCCCCCCTCTCATCCTCCTAGTGAAATGGGTTTGCTTTGGACAGAGTATTTGAAACAAACCACATTATTCAAATAGCGCATTTTGCTTTATTCTGTTTGGGTCTTGCCTGCCTCCTTATTGCAAAGAAAAACAACGAATGCATGGCGTACAGCCCATGTAATAGAAAGCTGACTATAAAGGACAGCTCACATCTAGCGAGTACTTGCTTGATTCAGCAAGCCGAATACTGTGTTAGGTGCTCGATGTGTTGTCGTTTGTCCTCATAACCACTGGTGAAGCAAAAACTCTCAGCCCCATTTTGCAGATGGAGGAACTGAGGCAGAAGATGAGTTACCTGTTCCCACTGGCACTAGTATAAAATAGACCTATTATATTATTATACTTATTTTATTATGTTAATAAAATATGCATAATATATGTGGAATATATAATATATTATACTTATTACTACTATTATTACTAGTAGTAATAGAAGACACGACACCAAAATCCAGGAAGCCTGACCCCCAATGTTCATCCAGGATCTGAGAGAGAGCTGGACCAGGGGGCGGAGTTTCCAGGCTCTAAGGGGAAAATGAAGGCAGATGTGCAACGGGTTGAATGATCTCTGCCCCGTGGACAGATCTCGTATGTAGTGAGTGTAGCTGCATTTCTTTGGGATATATATCATTCCCTGAGTGACCGTGGATGCAGAAGACCAGAGAGGTTACATACCTTTCCCAGAGTCACCCCGGAGAGGTCAGGGACAGGCTGGCATGGCCAGAAGGAACACTCTGGCATTGGTGCTTGGGTCCCCTGTGCCGACCCAGCCTCCCTGTTTGTGGCAAGGACTGAGTCACATAAGAGAGAGAGAATCAGGGAGGTGGCTGATTTCTAGCAGCCACTGGCTGAGAGGCAGGTGTTAATCATCACCATCATCATCATCATCATCATCATCATCATCATTATACTTTCACTGAGAATAAGGTGGATTATTTCCCCTTATTAAATACCTGTTATGTCCAGGAACCAATCCTGGGAACAGGATGCATAAATGTGAAGGTTCGAGCTACCGTGGAGATTCACACGAAAGCTTGGGTGAGAATAAATGCTGACAACAGGTGCTAACAGGAGGGGAGCAGACCTGACCTTTCCATGGCCCATCCCCCTCCTCGGCAAGGCTGACTTCCAGACTTCCCTCAGCTTCAGTTCATTTCTCTTTATTAACGCGAACAGCCATGAAATGTTTGATTGGAGAATCTTTTTACATTTAATTTGAAAACATTTGAGATCTGCAGGGAAGTTGTCAAAACATCCCTGAGAGTTCCCGTACACCTTCTCCCCGCTCCCCTATGCCAACACCCCACACAGACGTGGTACGTTTATCCAGAGTACGGAGTTAGCTCAGGTATGATGCTACTCACTAAACTACAGACTTTGTTCACATTTTTCCAGGTTTCCCACCAAAGGTGGTTTTCTATTCCAGAGATTTCTATTCTATTCTATTCTATTCTATTCTATTCTATTCTATTGCTTTTAGGAGCAACTATTTTGGCCTGAAAATTATAGAGAGCAAAAACCATGTTTTAGAACTCATTTCAGTTCCATTCAAATGGTTTAAACTACTTTGGGCAGTGCACATTGATGATCCATACTAAGACCGTCGAACGTTGAGAGCCTGCCATGGATGAGGTGTCATGTCACATCTTTGGGATAGAATCAGAGGAAAATTATTCCAGACTATTTTCTAGCGGTAAATAGAAGGCGGGCCGAGAGAAACCATTATGTGGACTTTGAATTCAAAGCAGAAGAGGGGCTTCAAAGAGGAACACGTTGAAAGAACAGTGAGATAAAATTAAGGCTTGACCCCCAGCGGCTGAGAAGCATCTCTGCCTTCTGTTTCAAAGGCTGTTTTCCCCGTAGGCGTGGACCTGACCTCACTGTGCCAGCTGAAGGTGCAGAGACCCGTGAGCATGCTAACAGATGTCAAACACTTCTTGTCCGATGGCGGAAATGTCAATGAGAAAAATGATGATGGGGTGACGCTGGTAAGTTAATATAACTGGCTCAGAAATATTGCTGATGTAGAGGATTTAAGTTGATTTCTAAAGCCTGGAATTGGATGCAATTAACGTTTACAAATGTCCTTTATTTCTGATCATAAAAATTCTACATATTTATTGTAAAAATCTTGAAAACGCGTTAAGTGCGCAAAGACGGAAACAGAAATCACTTATGTCGCCACTCAGAGAAAAACCAGTGTTTGTAGGCTGATGTATTTTCTTCAAGCCTCCCTTCCATTTTGTTAAAAAATTTACAGTAATTTTGTAAAGTGTATTTATTTATTTTGAGAGAGCGGGAGAGGGGCAGATTGAGAAGGAGATGCAGAGAATCCCAAGGAGGCACCTCACTGTCACCTTGGAGTCTCACTTGGGGCTGGAACTTACGAACCCATGAGATCACGACCTGAGCCAGAATCAAGAATCGGACGCTTAACTGACTGAGCCACCCAGGCGCCCCTGGAATAATTTTTAGGCATTACTTTGTCCGTGTGATTCATTGAGATGGAACTTATGGGAGAATGTTTTCGTTTTTCATTTTACGTAAAACAAATTATGGGTCACTCTGGGGAATGACTTTCTAAATCCAAGTGAAATCCTGTCATTGCTTTTTTTCCACAGCTATCGGGCACAGTGGCAGTAATGAAAAACCAGTACAATTAAATTTGGATTAATTCTCATATAAGCATAATGTCTAGTCATGAAAGTAAGAAACATTTGGCACTATTGACTTGCACTGAGCATGCCTGTGTTAAAGTTAACTGTCGTGGAATTAAATGTACTGAGGCTCAGGGGGAAGCATTGAGAGAAAGTAGATTAGCAGAAGGGGGTATGACGCTCGGAGCATGGGATGCACAGAAGCCTCTGGAGCCAGTAATTCAGGTTCTACTCTGCATTTTTCCGGAGGTGTGAGGTTGAACACAGCAATGGGAGAAATGGCTTGTCTAAGTGGATAAAAGTTGTGTGAGACCCGATACGGTTTTAGATTTATTAAATGCAAATCGAACACCCTGAGACCTCTGGATAGAATAACCTTCCTAGATACTGATTTCGGACTTTGGACTGGTAGGTTTTCTAAAGACTGTCAAGAACATAACTCCAAGTTATAAGCAAAGAGAACAAAGCGTGTTTACAGTTTATTGAAAAATCACATTCAAGTGGAAAAATACTCGAATTAATCTATTGAGGAAGTAATTTATTAACCCTAACCTGTGAACAAAATAATAATGAACAAAGCCACAAAAGCCCTTTTATCATGGGCTTACATTTCTTTGGGGAAGATACATAATATACCATATAAATGAGCTAAATGTGTAACATGCTAATAATGACAAATGCAAAGGAGAAAAGAATAAGATAAGGACATGCTGGGAGGTACACAGGTAAGATCTCACTGATGAGGAAGTTTGAGTAATGACCTGAGAGAAGTCTGCACACACTGCAGGGGTGCCTAGGAGCATTCCAGGCTGAAGAGTGGTACGTGCAAAGGCCCTGAGGCCGGAGTGGGTGTATTAAGATTTAGAAACAGCACAGAGGCCTGTGAAGCTAAGCAGAGTAAAGGAAAGGAGTGAGGTAGCTGGACCGGATCCTGCAGGGTTTGCGTGCCTGTGTGAGGACTCTGCACTTACTCTGAGTGAGACGGGAACACGTGGGAGGACCCTGAGGAGAGCACAGCCCTGCTTCACTTCTAAAAGCATCACTCACTCTGACTGCTGTGTTAAGGATGGACTGTCAAAGGGCAGGGCTGACACTGAGAGTTCAGGTGATAGGTGTGGTTGGTGGTGGAGCTCAAAGCTACAGGAAGCTGAGGCTGTGGGAAGTGGCTGACTTGTGTCCGCGTGAAAAGAAGATCCGCTGCGTTTTCCTGATGGCCAGGTGGTGTAGGAGAAAGGATGATTGCAGAAGGACTCCACGTACTTTTAGCCTCAGCACCTGCAGTGATGGAGTTGGCGTCCGGTGAGACCGAGAGGGCTGAGGACCAAATGAGCTTGGAGCGGAAAAGACAAGGACAGCTTGGGAAACACAGAGCTAGATGTGACTCTGAACCTTCTTCATGGAGACGCTGGGTTTGTGGTTGGATATTGGAGTCTGGGACTCAGGAGGCGTCTGGACTGCAGAATCACTTTTGGGAACACTAGCATAAATGTGACGTTGAAAGCCTTGACCCTGGATAAAATCACACTTCTGACACAGAAGAAGAGAGAATTGAGGACCGAGCCATGATGCTTAGGAAGGAGAGGAAGATCCAGAAATAAGACTGGAAGGAGAAACTCTCAAGGTAGGAGGAAAACCAAGAGAATGAGATGTCCCAGGAGCCAAGGAAAGGAAGTATGATGATGATGATGAGGAGGAGGAGGAGGAGGGGGAGAAGGAGGGGGTGTGTGTGTGGGGGAACGGTTGACTATCAGATAACCACTGAGAGGTCAAGTGACTGGAGGTGGTGAATTGACCTTTGGACTGTGTATTGGGAGGTCACTGGTCTTTTCACCGAGGGAAGATGCAGTGGAGTGGTGGGCTCAAAATCCAAACTGTAGTGGGTGATAGTTCTTTTAATGCGTGTAACGCATCAATGCCTAACAGCGCAGAAACCCAGTAGACCTTTGTGTCTTTGTTTGGCTTAAGATATTGCAGATTTATATGCCTCTAAAAAAAAATCACTGCTAAATAAAAATTGCATAAGTGTTTCAAATATCGTCAAATCAAAGGACCCACGTACTTTGGTAGTGAAGCTATTGAAAGAATCAATCAACACAGAACAATAAATTGCGATCGAGTTCCACCATCTTCAATTTTTTTTTTTTTAATTAAATTTTTTTTTTCAACGTTTATTTATTTTTGGGACAGAGAGAGAGAGAGCATGAACGGGCGAGGGGCAGAGAGAGAGGGAGACACAGAATCGGAAACAGGCTCCAGGCTCTGAGCCTTCAGCCCAGAGCCCGACGCGGGGCTCGAACTCACGGACCGCGAGATCGTGACCTGGCTGAAGTTGGACGCTTAACCGACTGCGCCACCCAGGCGCCCCCCCACCATCTTCAATTTTGACATTCTTTGTGACTTTTTTCTATTGAGCAGAGAGCATAAACATTGCAAATAATTGTTGTATAATAACTAAATGATCATCTTTGATCATTGAGCTTTTCACAAGGAAATTAGTAGTGATCGGGAGGCTAGGAAGTTGTCCCTTGAAGATCACAGTGTTTAGCAAGCAGTAATGTAGTTTGATTCTTCGGTCGGAATCAATCAGTCTATCATGTTAATGACTGCCTTCCCAGAGCTCTCCTCCGGATTGTGTGTTCCTGTCTGTTGTTGGTCGACAGTAAGAAGACGCCAGTCCACAGATTTCCATATCCTGAGTTGGACTGTCGGTCGTGGTTCAGAATCATTTACCACACTGTCAAATTGTGCAAAAGAAGACGAAGCTATCAGTGAAAGGCTCAATACCTTTTTCTCCTTTGTTAGAACATGGGACAAAATTACCAAACTTACTGTAGCTCTCTTAAAAAGATCTCTTGCTGTACAAGGATACCCTTTTTAAAAGAAAACAAAACCTGAGAAAAGGATACAACCCCCCCCCCCCCCCAAAAAAAAAGCCTTGTTACAGAGGATATGGAAATGCATTTCTGAGTTTGAGTGCATAGATGCTCTTTGAACATCTACAGTAATGACTTTCAGATACATTATAAAGATGCTGGTTCTTCACTCTTTTGTCACAGACTTTGATATATAACATCTGGCCTTGGGACGTATTTACTTGGAAAAGAATTATTCATGAGATGCAAACATCAAACAATTTTATTTCTGACTCCCTTTGTTTTGTCAGTAGTGCTGGTTTATCCCTTACTTCTGGGTGAAGACTTAGCCAATGCTATCTGCTTTCTGGCCGCAGTTTATATCACGATGCGTAGCCTCAATTTAGAGATTAGAATGTGCGGTCCTTTATGACAGTGAAAACTCCCTGCTGGCATGAAGTCAGGGCTCACTGGTCTTTTTATGTCCTATTACCTTCTAACCCCCCTGGTGTAGCTGTGGATTCCTTGTCAAAATTGTGCTTTTAATGTAATAAAAATGGTACCCGGAATTACAAGGAAAGATAGTTCTATCAAAACATCATAATCATAATATTAAAATTAACTTTGTGATATTAATGCACATGCTCCATTATTAATGCACCGAGTAACAGCTTTAACCATTACCATGATTTTAGAGTAGATTTGAACTGGGGTGATATTTGGACATTTCTGCTAGGACAGCAGTGTGATATGACAATATTTCTTGTGATGGTAGAGAGCATCACAGCTGTGTACCCTATGTTCACCGTTGAAGAATTTGCTACATTTCAGTCGGGGTTAGAAAACAGTAAAACTGTTTTCCCACCAAGTTTGCAAACCCCCTGAATCTATGCACAGTTCCTACAGGGGCTGGTGGGTTCAGGCATTAAGGACCTCAAGTTCAGCTACATCTTGAACCTGTTCCTGGTATATCAGGAAGTCCGTAGAAGGGAGGGTAGACGTGATCACCTGTTTCCCCTTCTGCCACTGCCTTCTCTTCAGTGTCGCAGAAGTTGAGGGAGAGGATGGGAGGAGACAGATGGGCAGGAGGTGATGCAGTAGGGGATGGAGGGCTTTGACTTGACCTTCCTTGAAAGAATGTCCTGCTCTCTGGGCTAGAAACGGACCCCTTCCCTTGTGAGGATGTGGAGGTTCTTCAGATATCACCTCCTCACCATCATCACTGGGGATCTCCAGATGGTCCTTTACACCTGCCTCAGTTCTAGGGAATCTGAGGTGCTCCAGCCTGTCTCTCTCGCCCCCTCAGGCACCCCCCTGACACAGAACTGAAAACGAACACAGCTTGTCCCTGGAAAAATCTGCCCGCATTTGTTTTTGCCCCTGTGAACTCATGAGGGCCAGTGGATGCCAGGTGTCTGCGACCTCCCCTTGCAGCCCACCGAGCGGAAAGCCAGCCCATCTCCGCCCTTTACTTTTTCT